CTGTTGGAATTCCACACACTCACACCCTCTCTAGTGCGTCCTAGCACCTTAGAGAAAATTGGGGGAGGGGAGAACTTCTATTCCAAAATCCGGTATGTACAGGATATAAGGAACAATTATTTTTAGAATAATTGATGAGAAATATTGGTACCATATGGCACCTGCATACCTTATTAGGCAAAGTAATAAAAAAGAGTAACAGTAACAATAAAAGAATATCAATCAATATCTGAAATGATGGCAAAATATGAAAATAAGAGAAAATAAGCGATATCTCAATGGATTTACGGAATTAAGAGCCTAAATTGGAAATGCGGCCGGAGATAACTCTCACACAGCCAATGAGCATTTTTACCGATTTATTAGACGCTGTGGGAACGAGTGAGGCTGGAATTCTGGGTTGCCGCTTGAGATTCCCACGCCCGCACATACTCGTGACCTGCCATGCCTAACTTCTCCAACATAGAACTCTGTCAATTCTCCACCGATTGGGACGTTATTGGTATCGTCGGAATCGTACGAAATAGCACTATTTTTGGATACCAAATCTGTACTGAGTCATCACGTGAATGGAAGTAGATTTCTGAATGTTGGAAGCGGGTATCTGAGCCGGCTCTGTGCGTGGGCGATTATCCCGCCTACAATGCCCCCAAAAACGGAGGCGGAGGAAGTAAAGCCAAGGGACGATGGCCCACAGCCAAGAGCGTGGGAAAGTTCTGGGCGAGTAACTTGCCCGGACAGTGTCAGGGCACACCCTGCCCGACCCTCGCTCCGCTCCCCCACTCCGCACCGCTTCTCCCCTTCCTTTCTCCTCTCTCCTTTCTTTCTTTCTTTCTTTCTTTCTTTCTTTCTCACATGGACCACCTTTCCCGCTGCTCAATGTATCACCGGTGCACACGCCCATTCCCCCTCTTGTATCTCACTGTTCCTATATCGCCGCCATCGCCGCCGCACTTACCCCGCACCCACAGCGGGCGCTCTCGGGATCTCCCGCGGAGGCACCCGGAGAGCCGTGGCTGTGTGCAAGGGTGACGTGGCGTGCCCCATGTGACCAATAATAACTCACATTCCCACTTCAGACTAAGTGGTTGGGGACGCTCACCCCGTGACGAGATCGCCGCTACGCACAGCTGCTACTCGTCCCACCGAGTCCCGCATGCCGGGACCTCGCCGCTTTCGGAGCTGTCCCTGACAGACAGCCACACCATGTACTAGAGATCACATGGGCTAGGCGAGTAACTCGCCTAGACCACGTGAACCACAGGCTCATGTGCAAAAGAACACACAACTGTGGCGAATCCCATGCATGCAAGAACGAAAACCCCTCCCACCACCACGAGTAACATAACAACAAAATGTCGTTCTCTGGGGGAGGCAACCCTCGGTTCGATCCTGTCAGGGCATACACCCTGACCTAGCCCATACCCGCATCCACACCTGCACCCACAACCGCACCCGGCTGTTGCACTCCCCGCGCGCGCCCTGTGCCGGACGCTCAGTGCGGCTGGAGGGCCTGGACCTCGGGTCTCGGGTCTCATGTGACTTCCGGATATCTCCGGAAGTTTTCGATGTATTGTGGCCACTGTGGGAAGATGAGAAGTTAACTTCCTTCTCATCTCTGACCCACAGTAGGCAAGTTGTATATACTTGCCTCTCTTCTATATATCATCTCTGACCCACAGTAGGTTGTGCCCTGGACAGGGCTGGTTACACCTGGGACTGTGGACCATAGGGGAGGGTCATGGGGACTCGGGAGTCGTCCCCTGACAGATCCAAACAAACCACCGGATATCGAAATACGACAACCCGGGGAGCAAGGCTCCCCGGAACAACAACAACACCAGGCGCAGATAAGTGCCATGGATTACACGACGCACGCAGCACAAATGAGTGCTGCGAACCAACAACCATCCGCGTTGCTAACAGGCACCGCATACCCCCAGCCTCCCCAAAGAGGCTTCCAACCATATGCGGTGCAAACTGCACCGATGGCGCAACAAGCGCCATTCCAGGGGCAGCATTTGCTGCTGCAGCCCCAGGCATACTCCCCAGGGAACTTCCCTGGCCAGATCAACCCCTGGATTAGCCAATTCGGCCCAGGTCCAACAACACCCCAGCCAAATGCAGGCTGGGAATCAGCCATCGTGTCAGCGGTAGCTGCTCAGACAGGTCAGCTCCGTGAGGAGCTGAAAGAGATGAAGTCCCTCGTAGGAGGGAGACGAGGGAGCGACAGCAGCTCCTCGTCCAGACCGTCCAAACAGGCACGGTCTGATAACTCGAGGGTGTCAGAAGATGCCTGCGACCATTGCACCCACTGGAGGCGCGAATACAACAGAGCACGAAGAGATGCTGAGGGCATCTTTGACTCTCTGAAAGACACAGAGAGAGAAGTCGATCTCCAAAAAAGGGAGATCAAATTACTGAAACGCGAGCTCAGAGAGGCACGCGCACTGGCAGACCTCGCTGCCAAACCCATCATGACGGGGGCCTCCCAGGTCAGGGGGAGGGGATACGGTTCCGGGCCTCATGAGGCGCGACCCCACATGGGGACTAGCGCATCAAGGGGTGGGGCACCGACTATCCCGCCACCCCGTAGGCAGGCGACCCTGTCCGGGTTGCATAAGGGCCCGCCCTCAGAGGGGCAAACCCATGTCGAGGGGAAGAGGGAGAGCGGTAGGCAACTGACGGCAGACCCTAAAACGGGGACCACTGCCAGAGGTGGCGGGCCACTGAGTACCTCAGCACCCTATGGGCAAGCTACCCTGCAGGGAAGTGTCCACATGTTATACGAGACTGCCGAACTCAACGAGTTCGGCAAAGTCGAAGCTCCAGTTGACATAACAATCGACCCCAACTTCCCCATGAGGAGAATAGCAGGGTCAGAAGCGGCGCATGACGCCGCATATGCTTGGTGGACAAGCGTGAGTGGGAAAGAATTCGTACACTGGTACGAACAGGCTGAAGCTGCCTTCAAAAGCGGCAAGGTACACAGAACCCTTCGTGAAAAAGCGAAGGAAACCGAGAAATACTTCTTGGGACTCCTGAGTATCGCAAGACTCGTGGAGGAATATAATTCCCCAGAGAATAAGGGAAAAATCTCCTGGGAAAGTCTAGGCAAAGCTGCCTACTTAAAGTCCCAGTTCAAACCACTCAGGACTCCTGAGGAACATGCCGCAAGAACTGCAGAATGGGAAGCGAAAGCTTCCAAATACCGGGAAAGAGACACAAGTCTCTGTGCTGGACAACCAGCCCAACGACCACCCTTCCCCACGGGAAGAACGGTAGACCTACCATACTCTACACCTGAGCCAAGCAGCTCAGGAACACAACAACCTGCTCCCACCCAGGGAGCACCCACTTCGTCGAGCCCACAGCCCGACAATGTAGCCCAGGCTACGTCATCGCATCTGACGCAGCAATCGGATGTCCAGATGAACAACCCGGAGGAAAACCCTCCTCTGGGGCAATGACTCCACCCTTGAGAGAGGGGAAAGTGACACAGTAATATGCCATCGAGGCGCCCGTGAAAACACCTTCCCCCAACTCGAGGCCCCGCACACAATACTGTATGCGAGGAACCGCAAGTAACAATTGCGGAAATCTCCACTCCATCAAAAGACCCACATCCACCACCGCTCGTGTGTAAACACCACGTACACACGAACCCTCACAGAACAAGTGAGGAACACCAAAGACATACAACCTTTGGGTCGAAATTCATTTTCGACAAACTCCACCATTTTTTTTCTCTCCCTGCGATACCAATGTATCGCCGTTCACTTCAAAGTAATGGCCCACACTCATTCATTCCTTAAACCCCCTCTCTTTTCTTCACCGACATGTACAAAATTGCCCACTTCAAAGTGGCGACAACAAAACACTCATTGATAATTCCAAACTCAATGTAAATCAATTATTAAAACTCTGTTTTATTCACTGTCAACCTTGTATGCATCGCAAATGCAACGCAAGGGGGAGAATGTCAGGGCAATAGCCCCGAACCCCGAGCCACATGTAAATTAGATACATATAGTCATGTGGGCAAGTGGGAACCTCCGGGTAACTGCTTACACACCACCGTAAAATACACAAACTTGTATCACTTACGGCCTTGTGTGCTGAGCTACCCAAAGACCTCACACGAAATGAATTGGAATTCAAACACTCACTCGCTTGCAACGAGAGCTTGCTTTTGCTCCAATCTTACAGCATTGGGAATTGCTCTATTGTCAGGTGGGATCCCAATGGAGTTGCACTGCTTCAGATAGAGCTCCCAGTGCTCTCCCCCACTACGGGAAATGTGCCTGCAAAGTGTGCTGGAGCCGGAACCAGCAGAAAAGTGTGGCGTCAACTGTTTTGATCGTCTCCCTTTGTCATAAGCCGATCTTTTGTGTGTAAGTGATCATCTATTAGTGGATTGATAGATATTGTCATATCTATCCCCAGCCATCGACTTCCGGTCCCTCCGATTCCTCCGTTCTAACTCCGCTCCTCCCTCACTAACCTCGGAGCCCCCCTATTCCGCAATCCTCTCGGTACCCCTCGATGGTCACCACCCCCTCATTTCAATTTATTACCTACGCCTCCCTAAGTACGGAGCCCCGAAGACTTCCGGACAGCTCCAACGTCCGCTAGCGCACCCCCGCCTCCGCTGGGCAATACACTCGCATGCCCTGCAGAGCCCACCTTTGGGCCTATCCCTCCTTTCCGTTTCTGGGTTATCGCCTGCCTTTCCGCTAACCCCGTGAACCGACTCGTCAGTAATATTCAGTCGGCTAATGTTTAAACCCCGTTAGCTCCGCTCCATTCAGCTCCGCCAATTGCGGACCCGTCTCTGCTGTAACCATATATATATCCCAACTTGTACATAGGTTACACCCCAGTAGAAAAATCAACTAGAGTTACCCCCTAGGTTCTAATTGCCAGTCAGTAAGTTAGGGCACAGACGTGTCACTAGGCACAGCGCTCTTGGCAGAAGTCGCTGAGGCCGAAGCCCTCCGTTATGGAGACATTCCTTCGTCTCGAATCTGGTCTCTGACAGATATTGAGACTTACTGGCATACTCGACATACCCGATAGCTCTCTTGCCCATCCTGGATGACCTCAGTAAACACAGTTTCGAGGTCTTGCAGCCACCATGCTTTCCGAGATAACTTAATGGCTTTGGCAGCACATGCATCTCCATGGGCAAACTCCTCTGGATCTTCATTGGCCCCAGGTGCAATCTCATCATCACTGTCCCGATCCACCTCATTTTCAGACCCAGACATGGGTGCCGGAATCTTTGCTGCATCGTCAGTTCGAGCTCGTTTTTTCCTCCCATGGCCATGCTTGTTGTGCTTCTTCAAAATGACTTGTTCTTTGGCTACTTCTCCATCTGATACTGAGGATTCCCTGGACATTTCAGTAGGAAGAAGCTTGGTTGCCCTTTTATTTTTGTTCCTTGCGGTGAGTTTTTGCCGTTCCAATGCCTCAATTGGATTTTCGCGCATGATTTGCTTCACAATCTGCTTGGGCCTAGGAGTGCGATGAATAGTTGGCAAATCATCATTTGGGTTGTAGCCTTCAGAATTGGGGGGGCAATGGGGTTGGATGTCTGAAGGGCTATAAACAAATTGATCCGGTTTATCAGCAGCATCACGCAAATTACCATCCGGACCCAGCATTGGGTTTTCAGGGTCCGTGTGCCACCCACTTTCACCACCAGAGAGTGTCTCCATTAGTAGGATTTAACAAGTTGTGATGGCAAAGTTGTATAGCGATTTCTCGGCCAACTGTCAGGGTACAACCGGGTCTGGACTGTTTACTCATGACTGATGACACATCAACTCCAGACCAGCACTGCCTGATCACTATCCCCGGACTGACACGGACATGTAATATATTCCCTCTTGTAAAGCGGCCCTGCATTGCCGAGTACCCTGACCTTATCATTTCCTGAGTAGCAAGCGGGGAGGGTAACTTTCTTCTCTCATTTTCCCCCTTGCTGCTCAGCTGGAATCTCCATCACAACCTGCTCTATTGGGTTCCCCCATTGAAACCGACCCTCTCCCTTTCGGTCTCAGCTCCAGCGAGAGCTCCGGATTCCTCAACTTAGATACCGAGCAGCTCTGTTAGACACTGGTCCGGGGTCGGCACCGAAGGTCGCCGTTGCAGGCTGCTATAGGCCGCGATGGCTGTGATGCCGCGAACAAGGCCCGGGGGTAGGGCATTTGGCCTCAGCAACTCTAAAGGGAGTGCTGTGCCCCCTAGCTGTCTCTTGGCCCTCATTTTGGACTCACTGGGGTTGCCTTGTTGGAGTCAGGACTTAGGGGTCATGGTCACATCGATATTAGAGCTAAGGTACAATAAAGTAACATACAGGATATATATAGGGAGGAAGAATGAATGGAGGCGGACCCGGGCCGAAGGCCGAAGGGTCCGGAAGCAAACAAGAATAAGGAGCGGGGTTGGCCGCACAGTGGCCGGCAATGACCGAGGGTCAAAACAAACAATAACAGATAAATAAAGGAAGGAGCATAGGGCTGCGATAGCGGCGATGGTATCATAGCGGTGCTGGACTCGGAGTTGGGCCGGAGTCGGGTGCGGGGATGGTAGCGGCCCTGTAGGGGCCAAGTGGGCAGGGTAGAGGAGTCGCACTGGGCACAGTGCTGGAGGCAGACTCGGGGCAGGAAGGTTGGTGTGGCTGTGGGGGAGTCGGCCAGGTGCAGGGGAGCCTAGGGGCAAGCGGGGGAGTGAGCAGGGAGTCCTCATGGAGGATAGGGCTGAGGTCGGGGCTCGTGCTCATGCTTGCATAGCAGTAACGGGCTCGGGCAGCATCAGGATGGGCGGGGAACAGGCCGGAATGCACGGCCGTGACAAGCTCGGTACTCTGACACCAACCCCGAGTGTAAACTCAACACTGTAAAATTGCAAATGAAATATTTTATTAATGCTTCTGCAGCTTATATGTACACAATATAAGATTGAAATCTTCAGTGGTCCTGCAGTCCGGTTCGGTTTGGGACCGGTTCGGATTTTCCTCTCAACCTAGACGACCAGAACTGAACCGCCACAGGATGTCAGGGCACACCTGCCTGACCCCACGCTGCACCCCGCGCCGTACCGCACTACCCCATTATCACTCCCTGTCTCCCCTCCCCCATTTTCCCCCTTTTCTCTATCTCTATCTCTATTTCTATTCTACAGTCGATTTCCCTTTCTCCATGTACTACTACATACCTGACCCCGCCCCCCTGATCGCCGCACGCGCCGCGCACACTCCTGCCTACTGAGCGGCCACCTCCGGGATCTCCTGCGGAGACACCCAGGGAGGCGCGGCTGTGTGCGGAGATGATGTGGCTTCCTCCACGTGACCCTGGCCGCATGTATATAATAGTGCCTGGGGTGGGAACAGAAGAAGCAGCCTTCTTCTCAACTTCCCACTTCAGGTAAGTACCGTAGCTTTCCCCTTTTAATGATAATCACCAACTTCCCACTTCAGACTAAGTGGTCGGGGACACTCACCCTGCGACGGGATCGCCGCTACACACAGCTGCTACTCGTCCCACCAAGTCCCGCACGCAGGGACCTTGCCACTTTCGGAGCTGTCCCTGACACAGGACCAAGCCCGAACCGAACCATGGTTCAGTCCCACTATGGTTCGGTCCCTGGTCCGGGACTGGTTCGAACCGGTCCTTTATGAACTTCGGCACCCCTACCCACAGCATCAAAACCGTCAAAAACCTATCTCATATAACACATAAAGTGGTACCACATCTGGCCTATGTATTTTCATCAGCTGTTGGATAGTTGTTGTAATATAACGCCATGAAATGTTTCCCAGGTGTTCAAATGATAATGCATGACCAAAGCATTGGTGAAGTTCTAGCCAGGATATGGGTTGTGATTGGGATGCCGCAATACGGGATTTTCCGACAAATGTATGGTTTGAGCTCGTGACCAGAACGTTTGGATCCGTGAGCCAGCCGCGAACGACAGCTAACCTAAATGCCCCACCCAGCGCGTTCCACAAAGAGCACGTGAATGGCCACGTGCTTCTTTTTTTTCGGAGAAGAAATTGTTTATTTTCTGTATGTCACTGATTCCGGTTTCTCACAATTTGTATCGTCTGTGATTCTGTGATAATACATATTACATATTTATAATTATAATTTCAACGGCAGCCGATATCGGTGGTTCTTTACCCTAATGGTTAAGACCGAGCCTTGGTCGGTCCATCTTGCTTTAGGGATGATGATTCCTGTTCGATTCAGAGTTGTTGTTTCTTTTTTGCCGTTGTTGTTGCTGCTGTTGGGCCGGGGGTTGGGAGGTTGGGTCGGGTGGTTGGGTCGGGTGGTTGTGGTTGTGTGTTTGTGGTTGTGTGTTTATTCAATTTTGAATCGGTTGGGCATTGGGTAGGGGGTTTGGGTGTTAGGTGGGTTGGGGGGTTGGGGGGTTGGGTTAGGGGGTTGGGTTAGGGGGTTGGGATGGGTCGGGTTGGGCAGTTGTGTGTTTATGTGTCTATACAATTTTGAATTGGTTGGGCGTTGGGTCAGGGGGTGGTTGGGTGGTTGGGTGGTTGGGGGTCGTGGTTACGAACGATAGTCATTGCTTAGACTCATATTTACAATTTAAATACTCTGGTTGCTTTTGGAATCGTATTTTACATTTTCTTTTCGCATGCACGTGAGCGTTGCGGAACGTGCTGGGTGGGGCATTTAAATTTAGTCGCGAACGACATAGCACCCTTCGACGACTGCCTGCACAGGTGCCAGCTTTAAGGTGACTCCTGTCACATACAAGGAATCGCTTTTGTGAAGGACCCCTCGGTGAGATCTGCATGCCGGGATCTCATAACTGTCTGAGCGCAGCAATTTGGTGGCAATTTCTCGTAATCATGATTCCCGCATTGATTGATGAAGACTGCTGACAGTGTGCACGAAAGGATCCTTCGTGCCTGTATCGTCACGAATCAGCGTGGCACGGTGGGCCTGAATCTTTTTCCATCCCCGCTTGCGCCCGATAGTGAGCAACCCTCGGTTCTACACAAGCGCCACTTGAGTTCCAAGAGCCTCAATAGATGCCTAATCGGATTAAGATGTGTCGACCGACACGTCCCCATGATTGTATTCTTGTGGGCTGCTCTACCCATGGGGTGCACTCGCGTTAGCCTGGGGGGTGCGGGGCCCATGTGTTGTCCTCTAGCATTGCGCGTCAGTTATATCACATTCGTGATCTCCTTTAGCTCTACCGAAGCCAGGCTGGGCCGAATAGCAGGCAATTTGACCTGGTTGTCCCTTGATTACACTACGCACAAATCCCTCATGGCATGATAGCGCATGTCCTGACGACTTCTAAGTAAAATTGACCCCCCCCCCCCCGGCATAATAATCTCAAGCGGTTTGAGCCGTGACGCGCGCCTGAAATTAATCGTCGTATTCCAATGGCCGATGGGGCCCCTGCATGAACTGATTCACTTTGCATATCGTATAATTTCCAACGTCCCGGCTGTTCAGCTTGGATTATGATAATATGATAACACATGCAGCCGTCCAATTGGCTGCTCAGGCACAATGAGCGCTGGGATGTACTTGTCTATATGTGGCAGACCTTCATTCATCATCTTACAAGGAAACGCTCTTTGCCTCTGAAGTCTGAAACCGCACGTAAGAGCCTTTGACGTGTGGGTTATTCCCCCCACGCCGAAGGAGAAGGCCTACGCGGTCCTACGTCTAATGACCAACTGAGCCACCGTGGGTATGATTATATGAAGTCGTGTGTATCTCCGCGGGGCGACCATTGTCTTGGCCACCCTCCAGAGGATCCGATCTTGCCATACGAAATAACAACTTCTGCATTCGCGGTGCGCGCGCGGCGCTGAGCAATTGAAAATTTGTGCCAAAACCCTTGGGAACAGCCTCAATACATTGGATTTCCGCACGAACCCCCGTTCTAGTGAGATTATGAAAACTTTACGCAGATCTTCTATCAGCACAGGTCAGAGCGGTTTTACATCGGCAGACGTGGATCGCACAGTCAATTCTCCAATGATCTCCGTACGTATTTATTTGAATTTGTCCGTGTCATAATAAAACAATTCCCTTTCACAGACTGCACAGGTTTCCGTTTGGGTGAACAACGCCTAGTACCACAGCCCTAAAGGGACATGGTCTCGCGCCTTGCTGGGGACAAGGTACCACATTTAAGGGGGTTCACGGCTCCAAGATACCTCTTCCCCCACGCGCCCTTGATATCTGTTCCTTCTCTTCGAGAGCCTGGATACCATGGGGAATAAAGGAGACGTTTGCAATCCGCTCGCACCCCCCAATACCCCCTACGACTATCACGACAATGGATCGATGAGGGTGATGCTCGGTGTTCGTCAAGCTCCCAGTCCTCTAGTCCGGTTCAGTGATCACTCACTTGCTGTTCCAGATCGCCGCATTTATCGGGACCATTTCGGCCACATGCGCGGTTTGCCTACTGTGCTTCGTATTGGTAAGGCTGAACACTTGGTATATGCTGCTGTAGAATCCTCAGTAGCTTTCTATTCTTAGTGTCGATGGCATCGATTGGGGTGGAAACGTCATTTCACCCCTCTAGGCCTCGTATTTGTCTACTGGATTTCAATGGATGCTATCCAGGGTGTTTCTTCTGCCCTATCATTCAAATGGGCTGTGTCTGGGGATGTGAGCCAAGATGGAGGATACTGTGACGCTCAAGGTGTGTATGATTGTGGATAGCTCGAAGATTTCATGACCCCGGCATGGCACCCAGGGGTCCTTCAGCAATTTGGTGATGCAGGAACGGCTCTTTCAGCATTTTTGGTGGCTTTACTGGTCGTTGCATATTATTTCCACGCCGGGTGGATCGTGCATCATCCGAAGACAGTCTCTTGTTGTCTACTTCTGCTATTCCCTGCATTCCTGATCGTCCTGATCGTTCCACCGTCATCCCTGATACACAACCTCTATGGGAATACTGGGCTTTGGTGTTGGATAGCCCACCATAGCCCCACGAATGCCAGGCTACAGATCGGCGCGTGCTATGCGCTGATGTGGCTTGCGGCGCTCACATCAATTCTGGGATATGGTTGGGTTCTCATAGGCACCCTCCGTCGCGCCGGCGCGGCAAGACAGGAAACAGGACATTTCAGTCATGTACCTGTTTATTCAGTGGAAGAAGCCTGGAGGATGATGTGGTACTCTCTTGGTAGGATATCTCCTATTTAACGGTGGATATTATAATCCCCTAATTAATTCACCAATCCTAGCATATGTTATTGAGGTGGCGCCAATTAGCATCATTCGATTCGTGCAATTCGGTTCAAAGGGTCCATGCCGTAGAGTAGGACCCGGATGGATAATTTTTGCGATGGCCGTGTATAGCGCATCGGGCCTCATCAACACTGGTCTTTGGCTGACGACAGGACGCCGCTTCGGATTTGCAACTGAAAAGGAACGAAGGAGAACTTCTGAATTCAACCACTCTGAGCCTGACAGGAACGGCAGTGCACCACCCTCGCTGGATGTGTAATATCATGAATTCTAATATAATCTGCATGCCATCATGAACGTTACAATAGCTTGAGGAAAATTGTAGTGCTATGGACCGCTGGATTTGTCGGTGGGCGATTATTACGCCACTAGGCTTCGGTTCAACACAGGAGGGATGGAGTCTAAAGAGCATCAGAAGACCCATCCGCTGATACGGATGACTTGCCTGATTTGACAAACTAGATGCGACTCTGCCAGCCGCCGGGTGGCGGGCTTTGTGTGTTGTTGTCTGTATCACGCGCCAGTCGCATCAAATTCACAATCTCTTTGGCTCTGTCATAGATATGCAGACTCGTACGTTGAAGGAGTCGCATCCGCCCAAACCGCCCCTCCGCTATCCAACCTACGCTCCACCCGCCCCTTTGTCCTACACGTAGCCGCTTCCTCCCTTGTATTTTCAGCGCCTCCAAAGCGTCCTCGCCTTTTCTCTATAAACACAGAACGTCGGATCCTGCGGTAGTGCATCATCTAGCGATGAGACGACGTACCGCAGGCTCCTAACATCGTACACCCAGCATCATGCAATTCTGGCCTCGTGCAAGGAATATATACTCAGGTCAAGCTTAAACAAGCTTGGCCAAGAACGAAATAGGTGGGGTAGTAGGCGAGAAGAACATTGCAAGCGATCGAAAAGCCCCTGCCAGGGCCTCATATGACACATCAATATTGAATCTGGGAGATCGCAAGTCTCATACTCTCGTTGAGAGAACTGTTGGTATAGAGCACTCAGCGGGGACACTCGGATCATGGGGGACAGATGATGCTCATAACATCGAACATATATGTGGTACGCGCGGCTACGCGTGAAACGCTGCAGCGTTGCGTGGGAACAAGACAAAGGAGGTATAATATCGGAGAAAGATACTAGGCAAGTTCGTACCGGTACGTCGTCAATCATGTCTTGCTCAACCAACAATGTTTATCCTTTCTTTCCGAATAGGTACCCCTGCCACACCCTAACAACCCTCGGTACACCTTCACGTAACATGGAATGCATGTGTCGGTATCGTGGGTCACGCTGAAATACAAGGTACAATCTGGTTTCAAAACGAGTAGTTGAAAAAGACTCAATAGCCCCAAAAGACGAAGCAACCTGCCCGAAAAAACAAACCAGAGAACAAAGCCCGAAGAAATAATCAAAACGCTTTCGCGCTCCACCATGCGCGACACTGGACTTCATCGATATTCATCAGTCTTGCCGCTCGTTCGGCGATTGAAGCTCGATCTCTTGAGCCCTCCTTGATTTGCTTGTCAAGGAACACACCCATAGGATCTGATGAAGATCGTGTTGCCGCTCCCGTGGCGTTGATGCGGATAAGCTTTGCGAATAAATCGCGACATGCCGACCACCTCACCCTCCCATTCTCATCTGATGATGCAGCTTCGAATGAATCGCGTAAATGATCACGGAGGGCATCTAATAACTCAAGGTGTAAAGATAAAGGCAGGGAAATGAGATGGAACTACTTACCGAGTGGGTAAAGGCGTGGACCCGCGATGTCGAATCTCTTCGATTCCTCAATACGCCCGAGAGACTCCGACTCCTGGAAGAGGACTCGGGACTTCCCTTCTGTGTCCTTCACCGTGGATTTCAGGCCACGGATATGGTCGGAATCCAGGGCTTGCACGATTGCGCACATACAAGCATAATTTCCATCCCGCTGACAGCGCTAGAGCGATGATCGTCAGGGAAGGGCCAACACAAAGCCACATCGTAACGTACATCCGCTAATTCCAAGAAACATCTATACCATTCTTTCCGCTCCTCGAAATCCTCGCAGAGGATGGTGTTCAGGACCCAGTAATATATCTAATACAAAATCATCAGCGCTGAACACAGAAAATGGGAGTTTGGCTATACCTCTTCGGACGTATTGAAGAGCTGAGGCCCGGGTTCACGAGACCATTCCCTAGCGTGGGGTGAATACACCCACTCAAGCCACTCCATGATAGTTAGGGGAAGAAGCCTTTCCCTCATGTCCATCTCCCGTTGACGCAACGCTGCAATGACTTTCTGCACCTCGCCGCTCCTTCGAGAACGCAACTTGTCCGGGTCCACAAGAATAGAAGAGGGATGTGTATATACCGGTGCATGCCTGTGACGTGGGTGCCCAAGGGTAGGATAGTTTAGAAATACTGGGTCTACAAGCATGTGCCGGGCATCTGCGGCCAAGGCTGAACTCTTGCGGACCACCCACTCTCTGACGGGAGCTTCAACGTGACGATCCTTGAAAGCATCCATTGACCAGAGCTTAGCTATCTGGATAGCCCTAAAGGGAAGGCTGAGAAACGGACGACATAACATCTGGAAGGTACTCACGGCAGTAGAGAGTGAGTGTTGGAACGCGAGGCGATCTTGAGGGCGTCCAACACAGCCATGCCATTTGCAAAAGCTCTGTATGTGACCAAGAACACGATCTTGGTCTCAAGGTCTGTGGTTGTTTGTGAAATGAGCGATTTTTTGCCAAAAGATGACTCTTATCATTCATTCCTACCAGATGATTCCAATGCAAGAGACAGATGAGAATGCCAGTGTTTAGGCGACTCGGGTATATCTCCTATTTGAAAACATTCCTCTAGGGGGGACTCGAACATAGATGATGGCAGGGTTGGAGGGTCGGAAGTTTGGGATGACTCCAGTGACACGGACCGTGAAGGTGTGGGTCGGAAACGAAGCCGCCCTAGAGGGGCCGCACAATGGTGTCACTTGAGTATTCAGCCAGATGGAATAAATAATCTCACTTTCTGAACGAGTTGGGGTCTGCGGTGTTGTTGGATCCAATAAAATCCCTGTCTTCGCGATAAACATGCGAGTGACGGCCTCCGTCTGGCGTTCGGTATCTGGTCCCACAAATTTAATCACCCTCTTCAATAGATTCTGATGGGTGATTATTGGGGGCTCTCCCGGGAACAACTGTGCAAGGTTTTGCCAAATGACTGACGCAAACCACCAGCAGTTGAGAGAGAACAGGCGGTATAACGGCGACTCTCGCTCAATTATACGCCAAAGGTCGACGACGTTGCCAAGTTTCAACCCTCGAGTGACGATGGATCGAACGTGTTGATCCGGGGAAAGTTTGGCTTCGTGGAACGATACCGTCAAGGTGTCGGAGGCGCGAGGGTCCTGAAACGGGAGTGATGCAAGGCGTATGAGGGTTGGACGTCGTTCGCATCGAATCCATACGTTTTTCCCGCCTAGGTACTCTAGACCGGCAGTGCCCATGAGCATAACAATATATTCGTGGGTCTTTTTAGGGGCCCGTCAACACGAGAAACATCACAGATCGCGCAAGGACACACACCTGAGCTCTGCAGAGTCGAACTAGAAGTACGTCTGAAGACAGGAATTTTTGAAGGTCGGCACGATCGTTGGTGATGCAGTCGCAGAAGAACTTTAGGGGCCATGCTACGGGCTCATCGGCGCTTGCAAAGGCAGCAAGGTTGTGGGACGAAATTGCGCGCCCAACTCCTTCGGATACGGTCATATGGTCATAGGTCATGGAATTGAGGTCGCCAAATCTCGTTGGTTGAGGTGTACGAGAAAGTGCGGCGATGCAGCCCTGCAGACTGGGCGTGCTTTTATCATTGGGGACTAATTGCAATTACATTTACGGTTTCCATTTCGGGAGTCAAGTGTGTTGCCAGTTTCACTGCCTTAACACTGATCAGGGGGTCGCGCGTGCTTGACCCACTTGTCGATCGAGGATGAATTTACAGTGTGAGTCAAACCCCCTTTCCCTTTTTTTATTTTTTATTTTTTTTGGTGGAACCCCCGTAGCTTTCGCGGGCAAAGATTGCCTGGGGGTTTGTGGGGGAAGGCTGGTCCTTCCGGGAAGGTCAGGGCGACGCGTCTGTATGATACTGAGACTGCCACCTCAGGGAAATGCTTTACGCACCGGCATCCAGAATTATGGCGAGTGTCTTGAGGTTTTGACACACAGCTCAAACTCCATCCGATCTCTTATCATTTCCATTAGTAAATAGCTATGGTCCCTGGACATCTAGGAAGCTGATTATTTTGTAAGTTACTTCATGGATTTGCATCAATCGGCCATTATCATTGGGCCTTTGCCATATCCCCCCCTCTTCACCTCCGAGTTTCACCCTCCTCTTCTTTCGTGCTCCTGGTGTCTCAGCTTACCAATGCTTCCAATTATGGTCAATGAGTCTTCTGCATGTGTCTCGGCAGCCATACGTCCATGTTACTCCTTTGCGGTGAATATTCAGCGCGTACGCGCCGAACAGCAGGGACGTGTAGAATGCACGCTCACGCATTGGAGAGATTACCACGTCTCTCCATGCTGTGTCTAATCATTTAGAGCAACAACCAAAGCGTTGCCGAGCATGACAACAACAATGCCTTGCACATCCATGTCTTCATGATTGCACGTCCCCTCGTCCCATCCCAATTGACAGTGGGTTTGACTGTCCCTTAGCGTCTAGAGTGATCCCGGGCTCCTCCATCCGAGGCTCCATTCATCGACTCGGGGAAGCGCCTACCAGCTCTCAAGGCACCGCACATGTACCACCCGAGTGACGTGCCGATATATGTCTAGAGGCATCCTCACTGCTCAGAGCGTTGTGCCTGAACTAATGTAACGAGTCTGACAGATGAACGCAAGAGCAAAGATGTCGTTGTGGTAACCACTGTTGGTCTCTGCGGGAGGTGTGCGAGCGCTAGGTGGTTCAAGTTCGGAGTGGCTATCGGAATGAACGGTCTCTGTGCAGGACTGATGCTGGCCGTTGGGGTGTAGGCTATTGAACGTGAGCGGAGAATCTCGTGAAACGTATAATTTGACGGATTTCGAAATCGTTCAGTTATAGAGTATTGTGAAGTTGATTTTGTCAACGCTTAAGCTGAGCGGGGGTGAGAAACGAACGTTTTGACATATAGTGATAGATTGATTTGCAACGAGTTCAGATCAGCACACCTTGTGATGAAGTGGTCGAGAACAACACGGACATTGGAGACATCATGTCAGCAAACTGTGGTTCTTGCGCAATTCTAATGGGTTGGATGAGTTCGAGGGAAGTGAAGTGGTCACAATAGAATGAGGCCATGTGGACCAACGCCGTTGGCCCCGGAGGGACTGCCAGGACTACCGATAGCGAAGGCTACCCCCTTGCAGAGAGTTAACATTAAGGGGGATTACGATCTCGACGTTAATGTGACCCTCATTGAAGCAGTTGGGATCCACCTAGGCATCACTCGGAGACTGTCGTCGCTAGCTCACATGTTGTTTTTGAGTTGAGTTGAGTGTCAATGGCGAGGATCCAGATGATCGTTGCAGTGAATCAGATAAGATGTCACCACTGTCCGCAGTTAGCTTATGGTTCAAGGAATTTCCGTACAGATGGTGTATTCGATATCCTCGAACTCACCGGGCTGAGTGTAGGATGTCAGAATGCTGTGGCATGGGATGAGGAGGAAGACAGATGGATCGTGTAAAAACCAATTAAGAGGAGGGCCGGAAGGCCGGAAGGCCGGCTCGGCATGATTCGACGGTATGTTCGGCTGGTGAAGGGAGTAAGGACCGGTGGAAGAGAGACAAGGTAATGGAGCAACGTTGGTACGCACCTTGGAACATGTGGAACTCGCCAGGGCTCTAAAGCCATTGCCAGCATCGGAAGGATGGCCAGCGACAAAAGACGCGTGAAAGGGGAGGCAAAGCTTCGGTGCCTCAACGGAGGACCTCCACTCTGAAGAAGCAATGCACCACACCATTGGCATGGCGTGGCACGCCATTGAAAGGTATCGCTTCAGGTTGAAGTGTGGAGAAAGTATCCCAATGTTCAGAGTTTGGACGATGTTGAGAGGGTCCGTTTGAGATCACAGCGGACACACGACGGCTCTGACGCTGCAAAAAAAAAGTGACCATTACTCGACATCGTTGAACTTCTAGGTGCTTTGGCATGAAATTGTGTGTGGGTTCGCTGCCTGAGGTAGCGAATTGCCTTATACGGAATCTCTTATAACGTAGTAAGAGCCATGCGTTTAGAATTGTTTTGTATGGTGTTGGAGATACAGCGCATTATGTCATGACGTCGGAAGAGTAGCGGGGTCTTCAGTTAGCGCCCGCTTGTCCGACAGGGGCACGGTGTGTATTATGTAAACGTGGCTGTGACATTAAGCAATTTAGTCAAATTTTGAAATTGCGACGCATCCACACTCATGAGCGACGACGGACTGAGTATAAAATGAATCCAACAAGTCCAACAACGACAACAACACACTCCACCTTCACCTCTCCAAGAGCATGTCGAGCGGAAACAACCTGAGCTGCGACCCGCGAGCGCCACCTAACACTCCATACTATTTCGTGGATAACAGGTCAATTATTGTGGCTCTAGGTGTACGTCAGGATCATCAGCTTTTTCAAGGTTGACTCACCATGCATGTTTCCCTCATCCTAGATCGCTGCGTACACAGCAGCCATTTCAGCTGGATGCGCCGTTTGTCTCCTGGGCTTCGTCTTGGTAAAGAGAGATCATCTTGTGTTGCATCTCAAACCTTACAGCCATTTCTATTCGCAGTATCGATGGCATCGGCAAGGTTGGAAACGGCATTTTCGTCCTCTCAGCATTGCTTTTGCATTCTGGATCTTCATGGACGTCATTCAGAGCCTTGCCCATGCCCTTTCGCTTCGTTGGGCCGTTCTAGGCAGAGTGGATCAGGGTGGGGAACACTGCATTGCCCAAGGTGCGTCCGCATGGGGGCGAGGAACAATCGGGAGGTGTTCTGACCTGCCACACACACATGTGCCATTAAATCTTAGGGGTACTACAGCAGTTTGGCAATACAGGGACGGCCATATCGGCGTTATTAGTAGTCCTACTGGTCGTTGGATATTATTGTCGCGTCAAGTGGATCGAAGAAAACCCAGCAACAGTGTCATGTTGTTTGCTTGCTTTCCTGGTCACGTTCTTGATTACCCTCATCGTCCCACCCGTCAGTGTGATATCGAACTTGTATGGGAACACTGGGCTTTGGTGTTGGATAGTCCATAGCGATCCTTTAAACTCCAGGCTCCAACTCGGCACCTGTTATGTATTAATGTGGCTTGCAGCACTCATATCGTTACTGGGATATGGTTATGTGCTCTTGGGGACCCTCAACAACCCTGACCCAAAAATACAGGAGGGAAGCGACAGCATTATCCTTCCCTCCTACACGGTGGAGGAGGCATGGGGAATGATGTGGTATTCTCTTGGTGAGAATTTGCACATTCAAAGCTGGATATTGTGCGTCCCTAACTTGCTTCTGCAAATACAGCGTATGTTCTTGAGGTGACGCCGATAAGTGTCATTCGACTGGTGCAGTTCGGCACGAATGGTCCTTGTCCCGGGGTGGGACCTGGGTGGCTGATATTCGCAATCGCCTTGTACAGCGCCTCAGGCCTTATCAACACTATTCTTTGGTTGACAACCGGACGCCGATTCGGATTTTCGACCGAACAGGAACGAAGAAAACCTTATGGGCCACATGCACAGCACCCTTGACCGTTCTGTTCTGTCTTTCGCACGCTGCTGCAGTATCATAAATTTTAGCGCAATTTGGGACGGTAGAGAGAGGGGTCGAGTAGAGATGATTGGCACCGAGTGAGCAAAACTGCGTTCCGGACTTATCTGTTGTGAGACAGCAATGGTCGACTCGCCACCACTGTGCCATGATAGCTGACTCTCTATGTGTCGGGTCTTATTTCTAGTCTGTTGCTATAAGCATACACCTTTATTCTTCCAATTTTTTACTACTTTATCCTCTACGTGAGGGTGACAGCTTGGGGCTGCCTCGAGATTGAAATTCTTTCTGTTTTTGTTTTTCAGCCGTGTTCAAGCGGGACAATAATTCCACACAGGTGCTGCTTGTTCCACTATGTAAACCCTACTTGGGTAACAGGTTGGACAACACTCGATTGTATTATCGGCACTCGCGTGGAATTTATAACTGGGAACACAGATCCCGCTACTCTTACCCTGCATGCATGTTCACTCTCAACGTTGCTATTGGCTGAGATGAAGGCCGAGATTTGCTCTCGCTCTGTAAACCCACCGCGTACTCTAATTTACACTAAGGCCGTGCAATAGAACTGTATGGGGGCAGAGAATGGACCCTGTGCATAGGACAATTGAGTTGGGGACGTGGGAATCTTGATCGATCGGAATTACTTCCCACGTGACCTCCCGATATTACGTAGTTCCTGCCACTTTTTAGGTGACGATTGCGCGTGACAATGTGAACACACGGGGTCAAGAACTTCATCCCACCCGACCTCGACCACCGAATAAAATGCCTGGCACTCTCGCATCGAGTAGGTGTAGTCAATCATGCGCATATATATAGTTTCTGAGGGTGATGGCGCCAGAGTACACTACGTGGGAGAAGCTCCAGTCGATCTACGACTCGGAGCATTCGAAAACCATCCTGAAGGATCTCTTTGCTCAAGATCCCTCCCGATTTGATAAATTCTCTCGTACATACGCGGACCCGGATGACCCCTCGACGACCATTTTCCTCGATTTCTCCAAAAACTTGATCACAGAACCCATCTTGGAGACGTTGTTCTCATTGGTCCGTGAGGCCGAAGTCGAGAAAGCTCGGGACGAGCTGTTTAGTGGCGCACACATCAATACCTCTGAGGATCGTGCAGTTCTGCACATTTCACTCCGTGATATCTCCAAGTCGTTCCAGATCAAAGAGGCTGGCGTTGACGAGGTTGGCGATGTCCTCCAGCACATCAAGGAATTCTCGAACGCTATCCGCAGCGGTGAATGGAAGGGTTATACTGGGAAGCGCATTAATACCATCGTAAACATTGGAATTGGTGGATCCGATCTTGGCCCTGTAATGGTTACCGAAGCTCTCAAGTATTATTCCCAGCGCGATTTGACCGTTCGCTTTGTTTCCAACATTGACGGAACCCACCTCGCGGAGACGACCAAGGTCTGCGACCCCGAAACGACTCTGTTCATTATCGCCTCAAAGACCTTCACGACTCAAGAGACTATCACTAATGCTGTCTCTGCTCGGGAATGGTTCCTAAAAGCGGCAAAAGACAAGTCTCACGTAGCTAAGCATTTCGTAGCCCTCAGCACGAACACCAAAGACGTCACGGAGTTCGGTATTTCCGAAAAGAATATGTTCAGATTTTGGGATTGGGTTGGTGGCCGTTATAGTCTCTGGAGCGCCATTGGTCTTTCAATTGCAATTTATATCGGCTATGATAACTTCGAGGAGCTCCTTAAGGGCGCTCATGGGTTGGATTTACATTTCAAAGAAACGCCCCTTGAACAAAACCTTCCGGTGATCTTAGCAGTGCTTGGAATATGGTACAACGACTTTTACGGTGAGTCGTTCGTTCATTATCTCATCCAACGATGGTGAGGCCCTGATTTATGATCTCCCCCCATAGGTGCTCAAACCCACGCCCTTCTGCCGTATGACCAATATCTGCACAAATTTGCCGACTACTTCCAGCAGGTACGGCATTTAATAAGCCATTCATGTGCGAAACTATCATTGAGACGTTCTATAGGGTGATATGGAATCAAATGGCAAATTTGTCACAAAGGATGGACATCGCGTTGGCTACCAAACAGGGGTACGATCTTTGTTGTTCATATCTCCGACCAACCGTGACGCGCATCCCCACAGCCCATCATCTGGGGAGCCGCCGGCACGAACGGCCAACACTCCTTTTACCAACTCCTCCATCAGGGAACGAAGCTCGTTCCGGCTGATTTCATCGCGCCTGCCACCTCCCTGAACCCGCTACCGATCAACCACCATCGCATTCTCCTTTCTAATTTCTTCGCTCAGCCTGAGGCGCTTGCTTTCGGCAAAACAGAAGAACAAGTCAGGAAAGAACTCGGCGCGAATGCATCTGAGGCGTTGATCAGGAGTAAGGTGTTTGAGGGAAACAGACCGAGCAATTCGATTTTGTTCCCCATCTCAACTCCTCGTATCCTCGGTAAGTCTTTGTATGAGATCATGTTAGACAGGCGTCTTACCCCAGTATTAGGAGCGCTGATTGCGCTATATGAGCACAAGATTTTCGTGCAGGGCGTTATCTGGGGAATCAATTCCTTTGGTAAGTCACCTTTACCATTGTGTCAGAGCACCCCCGACTAAGTAGTTTGACTTTCAGACCAGATGGGTGTTGAACTAGGGAAAGTGTTGGCCAAGAACATTCTTAAGCAGCTTGACAAGCCTGAAGACGTTACGGGGCATGACAGTTCGGTCAGTTGTGTAATCAACTCTCGTGACATTTTCGCTGACTCTTCACCTTTTCTTGAAAGACCACGGGCCTTATTCACTGGTACCAGAAACACCGCAAAGAATAGGCCCATCTGGCTCATCATATGTATCGGAAACCACACTAGGTCAAGATGTTGTACTGAAGAAACTCACAGGAACTGATTTTGTAGCAAATGTATCCAAGTAGTGAAATTGTAGCTGCGTTTGATTGGAGACGCAAAGCGGTTAGGTATTGTACAAAGCAATCAGAAAAGCCAGAACTATTCCGAGTTGGTAGGGTAAGAAACCGTACGCGACAACAAAGTATGCGACGCAAGACTCGTCGATACGAAAGCATACGTAGGCGATCAGCCAGCTAGAACAGAAAACAAGGGGGTTTTCCTAGTTACATCTTTTTCTGGCCAGGATGAGAAGTCCGCGTCAAATCGAATGGAGCAGGAAGTACACAAAAGAAGACTATTGAGCGCCACGACAAGCGATAATGATGAGATACAGTGCGAGTGATGCAGAGGAGAGAGACAACAATGGAACTGGTAGACATGAGATGAACTAAAGCGGTTTGAAGTGGCGGTAGTGCCAGGGATCGGACCAATAAATAAAACATGGTAGAAGAGGGATTGATATGTGATTTATTCATTTAGAAGCTGTCAATATTACGGCTGTTGCTGCTGTTGTTGTACTAGTAAAGCTTGATACCGGCAATAGAGATCGTCTGCGAAATCTGTGTCCTCCTACACGTGCGGACGCTGGGGTGAATTAATAATAGAGAGGAGAAAGCTTCACACACTGACATGAAGTAACAGCTTGATATTGTGGACAAAATCATGTTTGCTGAGTGCAGTGGAAGGCAACGACGAATGCGCCGCATGATTCTCGTACGCCGCCAATAGGCAACTAGAAGCGGCATCTGGGTTGACCCCCGGATGCTTCTCGACACAGTCGCCAGGACATGGGTTTTCCTGTGCTACGTGATCCAGGTTGTCGAAGGCTCGTCCTGTGTTCGTCTCTCGAATCGCGGATGAAATGCCTTCTACTGCACCTTCAAGTTCCAAAGGTATTCCCTTGGAACGCTGATTCATCTCAGACTTGGCTTTGGCTCTCTGTCGCCGCGACATTACAGTAGGCTTGGGCGTATGGGGAGGATTAGGTATAATAGAGGGTGACGGGGCTTGGGGTTGATCCAAAATGTTAGGTGGAACATGTGCAGGCGTCGTCGGTGTGAGATAGTTACGAGATAGGGAAGGAAGGCTGAAAGCAGAAGCATCACCCGTGCTGGCTGCAACTGTGGGTTTATAACGAGCTCCATTCGCTTGCGCACCAATGTTATTCTTGACTGGCACAGACGAATCGTCGTCGGAGCTGTTAACGTCATTGTGAAGGGCTAAGCGTGGTGGGGGCGTAACAGGGCGATCTATTTGCTGCAATTGGTGCGGATCGCCCCGAGAAATATTATTCAGGCTGTTCACAGCACTGGGCTGAGTGGCATCGGAAGCCCGAGCAGATGCGAATATGGCATCCAAGAGGGAAAGACCAGAAAGCGGCCGGGGTTGTGAGTGTGCGGCTAAAGGGGGCGTAGCGACAACGGTAGGATTAGTAGGGGTAGGGGGTTTTCGAAAAAGTGACTCTAGGAGGGCTTTGCCATTCGCTTCAGATGCCAAAGTAGTCTGAGTTGCACCAGTACGTTCTAAGGATAGATTAGGCCCTGCGTCGCTCGAGATGACGGTTTCAATGGGTTGTGGCTCAATAGATACGGGTGTCGCGGAGCCGGCAGCTGGCGGGCCAGGTACAAGGGATGCAAACAGCTTGTCGAGCGGTCGCTCGATGGCTAGAGCTGCTGTAATCATCGTTGAATTTCGGGACGGGGACTCTTGACTTTTTATTGTAGCTTCCTTTGTAGGGGCGCTGTTATACCGGGGGGATGGAGATTCATCTGCATTCGAGCTCGATTCGGATGGACTGAGGTCCCCCATCTGTGATAACGGCGTCATAGGAGGTATTTCGCTTTCACCATGTTCGGCCATCCACGCCAGTCGCTCATTAACTCTGGTACGCTGAGGTGAGTAGCCAAACGAGGTATTTGAATGAGGCGGGCCTACCGAAGCATGAAGCGTGCAAACCGGGGACCAGCAGCTTCATCGGATAACCATAAACATATCAACTCTGGCTTTACACACTCCGTAAACGGTTCGTCATAAGGGGTTGTGGCACGATTCCACAAACCCGGGCGAAATGTCAAAAATTTCGTATCTGTGCCAACCTCAATCATGTCGTGTTCATGAAACATCTGCACGATACTAGACGTGCCGCCACGGTTTAACAGGAAAAATCCATAGTGTGGAAAAGCCGACCTAGCAATCATGGGCGCGCATCATCACCAACCTGACCCATGACGGATAATTGGTTGCATGTAAGTAATTCACGTACCTCTCAATGATAAATACCGTCCCTTCAATATTGGTTTTTTCCCAATGCCCTTCATACTTCCCCTTACCAGCTTCAGACTCTGTATTCTTTGCCGCATGCGCAAACGTATATAGAACGCCATATGGACATTGATCATATATCCGCGATATAAGAGGATCATGTCGTCGTAAGATCTTCAAATTCCACGCAAGCTTTGCTTCAGGAGACATCATTTTCGTCACGCCACCGTTTGGCAGTGGAGGCACCAAACGTTGAGGTGTAGTCGAGTTCATTGGAGTAATTTGTTTGGAGTGGATGGCACTGTTGTGTTGAGATTGGTGTTGAGACTGGGATGGGGCATGCGGCTGTTGATGATGAATCGGTGTTTGCGAGACGCTATTTGATCGGGACTTGGCGTTTGGTCTTCGAGTCTTCGAGTTACGCGGGGAAACGGGCCCGTTTGTGGTACCTCCGGATCCGTTTGGAGAACGTTGTTTCTGCTGAGGGGACTTAACAGCACCTTTGGTGCTAGCATTCTGCTTGGTTCGCGGCATATATACTTAGCGCCGCCTATGGCGTGACGAGTGATGGGAGAAGGACACGGATTGCTTGTTTGTTGTGTCGTGTTTGTTTCGGCACTGTCTTCACCATTAATACACGTGTTGCTGGGTGAGGATTCTACTTCACTGCAGCTGTGTCTTTCGTTTCCCTTGGTGACGTTATGAATGGGTTGTCCATTCTTCGCGCTCAGCATTTTATATATTCAGGCACCCATTACCTTGCTTGCAAGGTCACTTTCCAGGTCCACAATTCGTGGGAATTTTACTTTTCCCACCCTGTGGTTCTCTTCCCATTGGCTATTGGGTTTACTATTGATTCACTGCGATTTGAGACAAAATATCCGAAGTGATATCCGAGCTCGGATACGAGACTTTGGCAGTATCCGCGTTAAATTCGAGATTCGGATATCCGTGCCCTTGTTGATGTGGCAGCCCGATGCCACACGAGGACAAAGGGGAGGCGGAGCTGCAGGCAAAGCGTTGCCGTGTGGCAAACCCTTAGTCGCACAAAGCGTCGGAGGCGCTAGTTTCACCATTGTTATTCGCTTTGTTGTATAGTTAGATAGACATAAAAGGGCGAGGATTACCTGAGTGCGATGCTCAACCCCGTTTGACATCGCGCTCTAGACACCGCGCTCTAGTCTTCCTCCCACTGATTTACAGCCCTTACCCCAAAATCCCCGCGGGAGTACTGTACTCCGACGACCAACAACCGGATCACGTGAAGGCGTGGGAAAAAGTTTTGCAAACCCATCAACCGGCAACCCAGCGTTACATGTTACACCCGACCGGCACAGCATAAGTACTACTGGTTATGGAAGGCAATTTAACATGTTCAGAAGTGATCACGCTTGTCAATTTTGTTGCATTTTTAAGCATCTGTTCATGGATGGCTTTGCACTTGCATGTCACATCATGTTGCATGCAGAGGATACTATCTTGTACAGTGACATCCCAAGCACTCTCATTGGACCCTACTTTCCAGAGGAAAGTCTCTCTATTGCCCAATTTCATCGGTTCAACCTTCTCATCCTCCAGACAAGCTTATATTTCTGTTTCTATCTGTCAGGGCATGGGAAAACATTACCGTGACTCGCTGTTGGTGACCGTTAAGGTTCGCTACTCCAGCATAACAGCCCGTTAAGGGTGGGGATGACAATCGTGGCAAAGCGGGGTTTCGGCTTCAACGACTCGTTCATGAGCGTTGCACCTCATACTTGACATGGCCCTGATATTTTGGAGGACAGAGATGTTAAATTTCTTGGGATACAAGCGTACGCTGAGGCCAACTCACGTTGTTGATGTTGAGTCTTGCAGCGCTAAGATTTACTTTGTTTCCCTTTTTTGGATCAGTTGTTACTAAAGTCAGTGCGCATTGATAGCGCCTGACTATAAAACACCATTTTTTGGACCTTATGACTTTTCCTCAGTTCACGCATAGCGGACTGAGGTGAGTCTAAGTTTTCTCCTTCATTTATGTGTTTAACAACTTGTATCTAATATTCTTACACCAGCGACAACATCGCTAGGTGAATACTTCCTATATATTTCTAGTTCACGTACAACGGGACTGAGCGACAACATTGCTAGTCCAACATTTCGTCTAATAAGTGTCAGGGCACACCCGCCTGACCCGGCCCCACCCGGCCCCACTTCACCCGGTACCCCGCCACCCAGTCCTCCCCTACCTCCTTCCCCCTTCTTCTTTCTTTCTTCCTCCATTCCACTCTCTCTTTACTTGTCTCACCTTCTCTTTATTTTCTCTTTATTCTACACGGACGACCTTTCCTTGTATCAATGTACCATTGACCCACCTGCAGCGCGCTCACGACACGCCCAGCCCAGGCGCCTCGGGCGACCCCCACTATGTCCAGCTCGCGCACCCACAGCAGACGCCCTCGGGATCCCCCACGGGGACACCCGGGTGACTACGGCTGTATGCGAGGATGACGTGGCACCCGTCATGTGACCTAAGCCGCATGTATATAAACATACCTGAAGTGGGAACCGAAGAAGTAGCCTTCTTCTCACCCTTTTCCACTTCAGGTAAGTAACATAGTATCCCCTTTTAATAATAATAACACCCTTTTCCACTTCAGTCTAAGTGGCCAGGGACTGCCTCC